CATAGGTGCGTTTAAAGAGCGGAAATTTATTGATTTATTTTTGTCAAGCGATTATAAGATAACAGGTATAAGTATAAACATGGTTATGAATACATGAAATGTATACATATAAGAAAAAGAAAAAAATAGGACAGGGACGGTAGGCACATTGGTGCGCTTATGCACGCCCCCTACAGACCACTTAGGAAAGGGGTGACACGGTCAATAGTAGACAGTCTAAGGTTAAAGTTTTTGGGGTTTGGGGAAGAAACCACAGAGTCAGGTAGAGTATTCCACTCGGTTGCTGAAGTCGTATTTCCTGCAATCAAGTTTGGTGCGGTTAACCTTGAGTTTGTATCATTTGTGTTGTTATGGTTAAAGCTGAAGTATTCCTTTGCAGGTAGGACATTGCAATGTATGATTTTATATACTATACTTAGATCGGACCGAAGGCGGCGTAGTTGTAGGTTTTCTAGGTCTAGAATTTCGAGTCTGGTGGCATAAGGTATTCTGCAACAAGTAGAATCCTTCCCTGATTCATTCCTTCCTTTTCTCCCTCCCTCTTTCCTTCCTTCTTTCTCCCTCTCTGATTCCTTCCTTCCCTCCCTCAATTTTATTCCCTTTTCCTTCTCTCCCCCTCCTTCCTTCTCCCTCCCTGTCCTTCATTCCAATTCCTTCCTTCCTTCTCTCTCCCTCCCCAATTCCTTCATTCTCTCCCTCAATTTTCTTCCCCTTTCCTTCTCTCCCTCCCCGATTCCTTCCTTCCTTCTCTCCCTCCGATTCCTTCCTTCCCTCCCTCAATTTTATTCCTTTTCTTTTCCTTCTCTCCCTCCCTGATTCCTTCCTTTGCTCTCCCTCCCCGATTCCTTCCCTCCATTTTCTTCCCTTTCTTTTCCTTCTCTCCTTCCCTATTTCCTTCCCTCTCTCCCTCTCCAATTCCTTCCTTTCTTCCCTCAATTATTTTTCTTCTTCTCCTTCCTTCCTTCCTTCCTTCCTTCCTTCCTTCCTTCCTTCCTTCCTTCTCCTTTTCCATTTTCCTCTCACCCAAAGATTACAGCAGGACAATGCACGCTTGGGGCAAATCAGAATTGCCTTCCAATTTTTATACGAACTTTCTTCTGCCGGCTGTTAGGTCAGGGCTGCTACTTTTCCGAACCAAACCCTAGACAGCAACAAAGAGTTGAGTTTTCTGGAGCTCTTGGCTGCCCTCCGTGGGTTATTTGACCTGCCCCTCTTCCATTTTATTTGTCATAACTGCAAATGGTTGCTAAGCGAGGCAATTGCTAACTAAGGATACTTCAACGGCCCAAACACGCTACTTTTCCGAATCTGGACTGACTAGATTCAGGGGAAGTTCAAAGTTCCCTTCAAAGGAACCCCAAGTTTTTAAAAAAGGGGTGGGCAGGGATGTAAATTACACATACTTTTTTTACTTTTATGCCCCTCTTTCCAATTACACAGTGGTTTCAACAAATGTGCTTAGCTGAACCACAAATATTGGGCAGAATAAAGACACAGGAGGAGACTGTTAAACTAAGCTTAAATTTGTTCATGGTTTAGTCATGTGGAAGGTCGGATGATAGTTTGTAGCCCAAGAGAGATAGTTCCTGATTGTATGCTTTTACACACTCTGCACACTCACACACTTACACATGTGCAAGCATAGCACTGATTGCCTTAAAAATGACTTTTTTACCCGTTCATAATTTTCACTTCCGCCGTTACCTGGAATCCCTCCCGCTCCCTGCAAGAAAAGTACACACAGCCTCCAGGATCGTTGTCGTACTTTTTTAATGAATATATTTTATTAAATTATTTTTTTTCCTGCAAGACTTAATTTTTTTTTGTTTGTTTGTTTTTCTCAATCCCAAAGACACGAAATTAGAAATATTCAGTCGAAAAGGCAAACGAAGAAAGAAGGAACGGGGAAGGGCGGGGGGGAAAGGGGGAAGGGAAGGGGTGAGGTGGGGAAACAGGCAGTAGAAAATCCAGTACAGAAGGGTTATTCATGATTATTCGTAGGATTATTTCATATTATTTTTTTTTTGTCTCTTTTGTTGTTTTATTTTTTATTTTTTTTCTCTTGGCTATACAGACATTCTCGGTTATACACGGCACGCAGCAAAGGGTCAGTCACAACCTCATGCAAAAAAATCCAGGAAAGGTTAGAACAAGAGATTCCTTGGGGGGGAAAAAGTGGGGGGACACCATCCTAGACCAAAGGACCTCCCAAAACATCCTCATCCTCCTCTTTCGGCGGCTCTCGCGCAAGCCTCCTCAGTCGTTCCCAAGCACCCACCAAACTGAAATGAGAGAGGGGCCACACGGCCCCTTGCCCTCAGAAGCCCTCGTTTTGACATCATCTGCCCTTTTTAAAAAAATGCCTCTCCTTGCTTATATCCCAAAGCAGGGGTCGCCAACCTTTTGGACCTCAGGGACAACCAAACTCATA